AGAATCCTTTGGAGTCCCAAATTTCCTAGTAAACAGCATTAAATTTAAGTTGAGACCTCTAGAAAACTTGCTCATACAAGTCTTATGAGGAACAACTCAGGGAATTGGGGTTGTTTAGCCTGGAGAAGAGGCTGAGGGGAGACCGTATTGCTCTCTACAACTACCTGAAAGGAGGCTGTCGAGAGGTGGGGACTGACCTGTTCTCCCTGGTGAAAAGTGCTAGCATGAGAGGAAATGGATTCAAGTTATGTCAGGGGAGGCTTAGATTGGATATTAGGAAAAAATTTTTCACTGAAGGGCTATTAAACATTGGGATAGGCTGCCCAGGGAGGTAGTGGATTCGCCATCCCTGGAGGCGTTTCAAAAAAGGGTAGATGTGGTACTTGGGGACACGGTTTAGAAGTGGTTTTGTCAGGGTAGGTTAATGGTTGGACTCGATGATCTTAAAGGTCCCTTCCAACCTCAGTGGTTCTATGATTCTATAGATGTGGTGCTTTTGACAAGGATTATCCACAAAGGAGAAGTCTTCATGTATGCATGTTCTATTTTTTGTTATGATACTATGTTTTGTTGCCCTGCAAATATGCTGGCAGAACATTTCTACCAGTGAAACTATCAATGGCACAATGCTAAAAGCTATGGGGTTTTTTTTGTTTGTGGCTTGTTCGGTTTTTTGGGGGGTTGGTTGTTGTTTTGGGTTTTTTTTCAGGTTGCCAAAAAGTAGTACCTCTGCATTCTAACCGCAAGAAAAATCAGCTGCTTTTTTGCTTCCAAACTCTCCCATCATAAAGAGTAGGTAAAGATTCAGAAATCTAATCCAAACGACACATTAAAAGTGAAAATATTTGCATACAGTTTACTGTTAATGCTTACATTGTTTTATATTTATTAAGCCCAAACAAGCAAGCCTACTCATCAGGGAATGATGAGTGAGCACTCAGTTTTCACCACCACTCTAGATACTTTTTGTCCCAATTATTTGGCTGTGAAAGCTTATTTTCTGCATCCCTGTCCCCGATTTTGCAGTTTTGTACAAGTTTAAAAAGCATATTTATGTATGTTTGCTCCCCCCTCCCCCAAATACTTGTTGACTAAGAAATCTCTTCCTCCCATCCCTTCCTCCCCCGTGCAAATATTGTCGTTGACAAAAAGATGGAGGCACTGAAGTTGATGGGTTTTTCCCCTCTGGGGAATTCAGTTTCTTTGATATGTCCTCTAAATTCCTTAAATAAGTCTCAAACACCTGTTCAGAAAAACATATTAGACCAGCTCAAGTGCTCTCCCAGGAAACCTTTACTTTTTATCCCTGTCCACCCTTCTCTCCTGCTGCCTCTTCAGCTACAGCTTTGTTGCACATGCAGCTGCTACTGAGGAGACATGGGAACACTGCCCTATCAACAAAGCAGCAAAAGATGCATTCATTTCTCTTTCAGCCATATGGGTTCTAGAGTTCACTTACCATAGCAGCAAACACCATAACTTGCAGACATATTTTCAGCTTGGCAGAGTAGCTGCCAAAGATGCCTCTATCACCATAAAATAAAAATAAAATAAAAAAGTTGCATTTGGTGTCCTTTCTCAAGGATAGGACTACCTTCACACTGCATTTTTATAACTAATCTACTGAGGCTGGAAAAAGGTCTGTATGGTTACTGCAGGAGAAAGGTGCTCCAAAGAGTTGCTTCATTGCCTTTAGAGCCGCAAGTGTTTCTTGGCAAACTAGACAAAAAGGAAAACCCTTCTTGAAAACTCCAGGACTGGGGAACCACCAAAACCCCTTCTAGGTACCCTTCCCACCCCCAACCCATCACCAAGAACAGCAGCTTTCAAAGTCTGACCTCAGGCTGGCCAGCCAATCCATAGCGGGAAGGGAAAAAGGGGAAAAAAAAAAAAAAAAAACACAAGAGTAGTGCCTTTGCTTTTTAATTCAAGGCCCCAAAAGTTAGCAAAATGTCACCATACACATACACACAAAAAAAACCATCGCTAAATAATACCAATACACAGACCCACTTTCAAAGAACTAAATGGAATAGGGAGACATTTATTCTCTCACACACAAAAAAGACACCGCAAAATAAAAAATTGGCTGTCACTAGAACCTAAAACACCCCATCCCCTTGGGAACAAAATCAACTGTGATTTTATACAACAATCCCAAAAACTCAAGGCAAGGGGAATCAAGGTGACAAAAGGGCATACCTAAAACACAGGAATTGTTCCTTCACCTCTTAAAGGGGAACAAGGACATTTCAGCTGCAATATGTGAACTCTGTCTAATGCATTAACTTGAGCTGCATTTCACAAAGGATTTCCAGAAATGAGTCTGAGGTCAAAACTTTTGTCTACAAAGGAAATTAGAAGGAAATTGTAGGAGATAAACAGCTTTAGGTTCTGGCGGTCATCCAGCTTTGTTCATTTTATTCTAATATTTTAACAAGTAAGAAGAAGAAAGCGCCTTTGGGGGCTGCCACATCCATTCCTTCAGTCAGGACTGTATACAGCACACAGTACATTTACCAACTCACCAGACCCATTCACTTGCCCAACCGATTATCCCTTCCCACAACATGAACTGCACTTCAGGGTAATTACGTTCTTCTATTAGATTTTCAATTAAATGTTAAAAATTTTTGATAGATCAAATACTGAAGAGGAACTAAAACATTTTTCAAATATAAGAGCACATCTTTGGGAAACATTTCAGATTGTATCAAGTGATTTGATGAAATCCACTACTTTCAGTACAGGCCATCCAATTTGTTCCTGGTTATGGAGTACAAATGATCCCTGTAGCACCTCTCTGCAGCAAATAAAGCACGTATCACACAGCAAATAAAGACTCTCCATTTTAAGACTAGTATGCTTGGTGCTGCAAGTCTTGCCTAATGAAGGCAAAGCTGGGTCAGTGCTGGCCAAGGAATCATTGGGCAGCCTTTCCCATCCTTCTCCCTGATGTAATCATGTATACCTCTGGCGCTCATTCACTGTGTTACATCAAACACATCTTCAAGACTGTGTCCAAATTACGGCTTTTAAATAAAGCCTGCACTAGCAAAACAACCCGAAATATATTTATTCTTTTCAGAGTGTGTTTGTTTTAAAAGTATGCGCGCAGTCATATATCAGGAGTACGACAGAGGCACACCATAAGTTCTGAATCCAATGAGAGTTGAACTTGACTGTAACCGAGTTAGCAAAACATCCCTCATTTCAAGAACATTTTCTTCACTTTGTGTGTAGACTACAGAATTGCCCTAAACCTGTTTCAACTGATGTGAGGAACCATTAGCAGCTGTCATTTCAACAGTATGTCTTCTATCTTCTATGACAAATTCACTCCACTCAATAGCAATTTTAATCACTCTGTTCACTAACAGAAGCCACAAGATCTAACAATGCTACTCAGACAACTTCTTTCTTTAGAAGTGCAACCGAATAAATTAGCATTGCCTCTTATGAGGAAAAAGTTAGAGCTATTAACACAAAGTTTGCAAAAATTAAACAAATTCTTACTCTTTTCTTTCACCATGACGTGTAACAGAAAGCAAAAGACACAGGTATTCTGTTTTTGTCAGACTTGCCTTAGTTATTCACCCAAAAGAGCACCTTAAGAAATTCTTTGCGTGTCTGTTCACCACTTAACTAACCAGTGCGCACAGGAGGTCCACAGCCTCTAGAACCAGTTCCTGGTGTCCAATCCGTGAGATACCCAAGTCTTCAAGGTCCTGGTGAGAAATCTGCAACAGCTGTTCACCATTTATCTTCTCCCGTTCAAATTTATGGACATACTGCTGCAGGCAATCATCCAGGCCTATCAAAACACAAAAGAGAGAAAGAAGGGGGTGTGATTAGAGATTTATGTCTTTTCTTACCTTCCCTCCTGATTTAAAACAAACAAACAAGCCAAAAACCACACCACCACCACCACACAAACCCTGCAAAAGGCACAAATGGCAAGCTCATGCAATATGTGACATTTCTTCTTATGAAAGAAACTTGCAGTGAAACTGAAGTTGTACCACAGGGGCACAGAAATGGAATATACAGGTTTTGTGGATCTTTGGGTCACCTAAATCAGTGGATCAAACTAAGCAGGTAAGGATGTCCTTTTGGTGCCTACACAGGCAAAGGTATCAGAGGGCATGCATAGACTCAGCTATTGAGGTAACCCAAACCCCCAAAGAACAACCAAAGCAACAAGAAAAAAAAAATGACAACTGACCAAAAAAAAAAAATTTTAAATACAACAAGGCAAGGCAAGAACAAAGATCTTGCCTAAAGCCTACTTAAACAAGCAAACAAAAGCACAAAAACCTGCAGTTCCCCATCCACTTACATATAAAAGACAAGAGGGAAATGGAACAATCAAAGGCAAAGCAATCAAAATGATGTTTGGCTCCAGTCTCATTATTCCTTGATTTATGACACCCTGAAGCTTCCTGAATCAGCCATTCCTTCCCCTTTCTAAGGATTAAAGGCACACACCAATAAGAAATCTAATTCACTTTTGTATCTATGAAGAATTTTTAAAACAGTTTAGAATAATTTTTTGCCAGCAATATCCCCAAAATCCTCACTTTAAATTGTGATTCTATAGTCCTGTTCTCTACAGTATCTTTTATCCAGTAATAAGTGAAGGGATTTCCGCTTTTCATTTTGTTTTATTCAACTAAACTTCACGTGTTAATCCTGTTTTCTTGTGTATTCTGCTCATTTCCTCTGTTCTTAAAGATCCTGCATGCAGCAAAAATCTGGGGAAAACATTTGGATGTATGTGTTATTTTAGAGATGATGCAGTGCTCTTGATGCCCTGTTCCACTTCAACATATTAGCTAGAGCAAAGGGAAGAGATCCAATTAGATCTGTTGTGTAGAAATACATCACATTCACCAGAAACAGCTGACCTGACCAAAAAAAAAAAAAAAAAATCACATTACAAATTTGACATCTACTTTGTAGCATCCACAATAGCTACACTGTTTGACCACTCAGTTTTAAAAAATTGAACCTTTAGCTGTATAAAGGATGTTTATCCACTACGCTGGCTCAAAAGGAAGCCATTGAGATGGACAGGATGTTGAATGCTGCAGATGAGAAACACGAACAGCATCCTGAACCACAAGGAAACGAGAGCCAGAAGACCAGCACTCAGTTCCACTCATGAAGCTGCAGTAGCAGCCTGGAAAACAAGCACTCCCAGCACACGCTACTGCCAAGAAAACATTTGAGACACATCACAAGGGGGAATTCTAGGAGTCACATGAAACATATTCTTTTCATAACAGCAGCACGAGCAGTCACTGCTGCCTTGCAGTCTCTGGTCACAGCAGATCTGGAGATTACAGACTCTCAAAGGCCCAGGCTTACTTAACACACATCACTTGTCTTTATAATGCTTGCTCAGAAATTAAGAAGGACGGACATCCTGGCACTTAACAGTCAACCCTTGGCATGACTCAGGCAAGTTTACTTATTGCAGTGCATCAAATTCTGGCTGAACAAGCTTGACTCCTCCACGTGCAGAACTACTACTGTGCACAGCTTGATTTTTAAGCATAATTATGAATGGGAAAACCCACGTGCAAGATGAGCAGAGTATCCCAGGGCTACAGTTGTTTGGGGTGCACTCTTGTTTTTTCCCAGATGTCTTGGCAAGGCCACATAAATTTTGAAAATTGAGCCCAGTGTTCTCTTTCCCAGAGGCACCAAATTCTCCCTTAGGCTATGCAAACTCTTTTCCCAGGAAAAATAATAAAAAAATCTGGCCTTCATTGTTTAACAATTTTTTTTTTTCAAAACAAATTCTCAACTGAGGCTGACATACAGCACACATATTTGGCATTCCCAATTTTTAATGCTGTCTTGCAGATCACTGTTTCCCATCATTTGCCATTGTATGCCCATAGTTTCCATTACAAATTACACAAACGCCTAAAGTAAAACACTTCATTCAGCATGCAATGAAGTTTTTATTTTTTAAGTTTTTTGGATGCACTGTTGCTTTTGCCTATCTTTTCTGTGTGTTAACTCAACTTCCTAGATCCTCATTCTGTGCTAAAACACGAGACTCACAAATGTATATATCCCCCTCAAGAAATACAACTACAGCTTTCCGCTTACTTGTGCTTTTTTCTTTTATGTAATTCATGTTTGCCTGTTCTCGAAGGTTTATTACAACTGAAACAGCTACCTCTGATTTTTTTTTTTAATAGGAGTGCTTGAAAACAATACTTCCACAACCACACCATAAAACTATATTTTATAAAATAAAATATTATAGAATCACACAAATGTTAATTCAAAACAGTCAACACATAGGCACAGCCGCTCAGCTAGAGATGTGTTTAAGATTATGGGACCAAAACTATGCAAAGCAGGAAGTGAAGACAGACCCACACACTCATGGCAAACATTCACTAATAATAAACTTACTAACATTAGTGTTGTTATTATTTTTCCTAAGAAACATATGGAAAAATCTCAAACATTTTAATTGAGATTGCAACCACATTTATAGCCTATTGTTTAATTTTCCATCATATGAATGAAATGTTTAAACATCATATGCAAACCAAAAAATTCCTATTTCTCCAGAGGGAAAGGAGAAGGGAGGAAAAAAGAACTCATAAATCAGTTCAATAAAATAAACTAAATATTTGAGTAAATTTTTAAAAGTCAGCATTCAAATGCCACTTGTAATCTAAATGAACTGCTCATTTTTTCCTTCTTCCAAACATCTCAGTCCCTTCCACGTATTTTCCCTGTGAACTTCAGAGCCTCACGTACACTTGGTGCTGCTCATTACCAAAGCCTGGACATGTTCGAGAAACTTAGATGAATTAAAAACTATAAAAGGCCGTCTACATTACTCAAAAAAAAAAAGCTTTCTTACCTGCCAGGTCATTTTCAACAGTTCAATATTAGCAGGTTCAAGCAAGAAAATAGTTTTCTCTATTTCCAAAAAAAAAACCCACAATTAAGACTCTGATATTGGAAAAGATATCTATATTTATCTCCTCTTTCCACTGAAGAGCCCTTCTGAAGTCTAATCTATTCAAACACACTCAAAGTGTGTTTAAAAAGCATTTGTCTCAATTGCACAAGAAAACTTTATATGATTCTTTGCACATACATCAAAACCATGTGTGAAAGATAACATTCTACCTACTTACATAATTACTAGAGAATGATGGAAGATGAAAATAGAAATAGCAATTGCAGAATGTTACCCAAGTTTTACAACAATTGTAGCAGTGACTTTTTTGAGGAGGGAGGAAGAAAGACTAGTCTAGCTAGTGTTATTCATATCATGAAAACCCATCTGAGGAACTGCAGTGTAACTTAAACAAAACTCTTTCCCAAATTTTGGCAGGTGTAGAAATGTGCAATAGATCCTAAGAACTGTCTAGACTTTTCTGTCTAAAATAACCTTCCACCACCACGCAAAGTGCTGCAGAAGACATTCAATACCTTGCATTCATGCAAAAACATTAGGACAGGGTTTACACTTACAGATTTGCACTGATACCAATCTCAGTCCATTTCCAAGATTAAGAAAGTTATTTTGAATAAGAATTGAGGGAAACAAAACAACTTTAAGGGGACTAAGGGGAACACTTGGGTCCAAGTCATAACTATCAGTTTACTATTCAGAGAATTAACATTTTTACTGTTGATAGATGTTAGCCACTCAACAATGACATATCTGACTCCCAAAGTACTAGTGTTTTATAAGTAGAGTTGTTAAGTAGTTTCATGCTTTTTGCTCAACTTCTGTGCTAGAAATTACCAAGTAATTTACATACCATAAAGCAATAAAAACAGTTATATAATTTATTATGGCCACAGGTCTAAAACCATCTGATTCACCACCTCCTCTTTCTTCCCATCACCCCACTCTTCCTCATTCTCTTCTCTTGTGGGACCACAGAGTGTCTATATGCCAACATGGGGGCGAGCAAAAGAGGGCAAGAAACTTAGGAAGGAACAGGGAGGGGGAACTGTAAGGTGACAGAGATCATTTTCCACTAGTTCAGGAACTTGAACAGATTCTCAGGATAACTCAAACTGCCTAAGCTGACATAAGGAAGTGGAAGGAGCACAAGCCACCTGAACAGAGGAAGAACTCGTAGGTACAAGACCTTGTCCTTCACATAGCACCACCATGAGGATCATTGCTCACTGTCTCAACGAAATACAGTCTTATTATTATGAAAATGTACTCATCTCTTCCCTGTTTGGTGACTCAAACAAACTGGCAGCACCTGGTGTCTCAGGGTAGCACCATGGTTCAACTACAACCCTCAGCCCATCGAGGGGCTCCCTTGCACCTTGGATAGCTGCCTAGGTGGGACTGCAGAAGTCTTTTTAGCCTCATCACCTTAAGAAACACATTCAAATGTTGTAAGAATCAGACCTTCCCACTAAGAAAGCCATTCTTATTCCAGTCTTCCCTTCAGGGTCTATTCAGTTGCTGCTTTTAGTCTCCAAAGACTCCTTGCACCCACCAACTTCAATCCATCTTCCCAAGCTTTGAAAGATCATCAATTCTAGGAGAATCTTGGACATACCTCATGGTACATGCCATTATACTATTATTTATATTTCACATCATTTTATAACTGTTATTGTGATAGCCTCCTGCCTTCATTCCTCCATCTACTTCCAGGATTGGAAGACTTTAATAAAAGAAAAAGCAGGAGGGAATCAAGGCAGCAAACAAACACCAGAAAGAGAAAGGAGCTACTTCGTGGTCTTTCATACTACTTCATGTGGGTGAATCAGCACCTGAGAAGACAAATGAAAGTAATG